GCCACAGGTCACGTTCAAGGTCTAAGGAACGTTCCAGGGATTATGACCGGTACTTTTTTCTCTTTGTTTATGGTTTTTTAAAGTTCATTTTCATGAGGACTTGTGTATGAGTCTCCCGCCATTATTGGTTCATTTTTGTAATTCTATATGTGCTTGTTTACATGTCAAATTGATGCATGTTTGGATAATATGTATGCTTCTTATCATATTCTTCACTCAATTCCCTGTAGGTAATTTCATTATTTTCCAAAAGATCTAACTACCTTAGGTAAGTTTTCTCAAAGTGGAAATGTGGAATAGAGGGTATAGGTTAGAAACGTTTTGAATTGCTTGGTGGAATGATTTTCAAACAGGATTTTGTTAAAGGTAGGGCTATAAGAAGCCATGCTTCTCTCAACAAGTTGAACTCAAAATAACAGTAACCCCAGTTTGTATTTGGTTTCTCATAGTTTAGTGAGTTGACTTAAACATTTTAGTGCTTGGCCTGAGAATTAGCCATTGCATGCTTGTTTAACAATATATCATTAATTTTGTTTTCTGATAATTTTTTTAGCTTGTTGAATTTGTGTTAAGTTAATATGCTATTAGTTTTTTAGTGTAAAATTTGCCAAAGCTGACTTCATGATGAGGTTTTCACCATTGTTTTCAAATTTATTCTGAGCTCTAGCTAATCTTTGAGTCCAAGAAGAAGCTGAGTGCAATATAAAAGCCAGGGACAATCAAATTTAATATATTCAAGGATTTGAGCATCCTAGATGGGCTAGATTCTGTCACACAGGAAACTCTCACCTGAACCTCCACCTTCTTTTTTTTGATGTTATAAGCTAAATAAGCTAATTATAATTGTTTGTACACTTAAAAAAGAGCCAAGACTAGTTCATTTTGAGGTTTTATGATTCTTTTAAACCAAGTTCGAGAGAAGAAATGAGCTTGAGTTGGAGACAGAGCTCAAGTTTTTAAGTTCGTCAAGCTTGAGCATGGTATTAGGTGAGTATCGGATTGATTCACTCTAGATAAAACTTAAAAGTTAAAAGGTTCCCTTGGGTAATTCTTGAATGGGTGCTGAAAAAGGACCTTAACCAAATGTATTGGTGCAGATAAGCATGAGGATGAGAGTTCTATTAAAACAATATTAAATGCTATGGTTGGTTTCTAGTATTGTTTCATTAGTTTCGGAATATAGAAACGTAGAAATGGCTATAAATCCTGCATGGACACATAACGAATCAAGGCTTGTGGTTTGGCAAATTTTCACATTAAAAAATTGCTGTAAATCCTTTAATTTTATCACAAGTACCTTTAGTTTCGTTTCAGCATGATGATCTGATGAGGGGATGTCATTCCCTAAGTCACCAGTATTTTGTTTTATGATTCAACTCTCTCCATGTGTGTTTCTCAGCAAAAGATTTTAGTTCTATATTGCTGGGATTTGAATGCTGACATTCCATCAGTAACTAATATTTTGTTAGGCTATTTTCCTATTTTTCTTGCTTGAATTTATTAGAATTTTCTATGCTGATACTGATTATTCTTCAACTTTACTCTTCCTTTTAATCAGACGTGATTGGTACTAGGTGATTGTTGCTAGGAAGCAAATGAATATGAAACTGTTCTTGCTTGGGTAAGTAAACGCATATGGTAGTAGTATAACTTGTGTTTGCCCAAATTATGTTTTTCTCAGTAAGTTCAACAGTTCCTCCTGTGGACACACCAACACGTTTAATTGAGAGGTTATTTATTAGTTTTGACTTGGCTTTGATATTATTAGGTATATATATTGCTATTCCAGTTGAAAATTACTAAAGCTATCTAAAATGACTAAATGAAAGTTAATACAAGGCTGCATGCATGCAATTTGAGGTTTGAATTGTTGTTTTTTGCGACGAGAGCGTTATGGTAAGTTAAGCAATTGAATGGATCTAACCAAATAAAACCCCTTGACTCCCCAATTTCTCATATCTAAATGCGGTAAGGGGTCTCATTTTCCTTTAGTTTGCTCGGTTTGAGAGAAACGGATGGAAGGGAAAGGGAAGGGGTTCTTATTTTCACTAATCAAATTAAGTTGTGGACCAGCAAAATAATTTGACTGATTATACTTATTTTCCCTCTCCTCTCGAGCCAAATTATTAATTCATTTCGTTTAGTCCAAACAAACTCTTCCTTTTTGTAAAAGACAAACAGATGTGAACCTAAAATGAAAGGAAAATTCTGGAAATGGCTTGTAAGTTTTATAACTGCATAGAACTCTCTATAGTTGATTCATTTTTCAGATTCTTAGACAAAGTATTGGTTGCCAGATATATATTCAATCAAATACATCAAGATTACATCAGAAAAGTGTAGTTTATCTAACACAGCACTGAGATTGCTATGATAGATTTACTTGAAAAAGAAACTGCAAATTCACTTACTTCGTTACGTTTAAACGTAGTATTACAAAAGAACTAACAAGGATCAAGGAAAAAATTCAGGTTCTTCAGCAATTTTTTAAGATGCCCATCTACAACTCGGTCTCATTCTGGTCCTGTGTCCCGGAATATAAACAATTTGAAAGGCATGATATGCTATAAAGTAATGTGTATGTCATCTGCATCCCCTACAATCTCAGCATAATTCCATGCCTTCACTATCGGAGTAAACTATTGTTTGAATCGGCTGTAATGTTCCCTTTTCAGAGAAGCTCAAGGTCAAGGGATACCACCTGACACTCCACCTAGACTATGCCTATGATGTAATATAAAGAGTTTATCAAGCTCGAACAACACCCAAATGCAGACCTCCGATAAGATTCATCAAAAAAGGTAAAAAATAAATAAATAAATATGAACTTCCCTTTCAGATTGAGTGTATCTGGTTGTCATTATGTTTTTACTAAAAATATCAACTTTAATAGTACTAAAACTATTTTTGTTTTTATTTTTCTAATAATCATAAAAGTATATTGCAAAAACAGATAAAACTAAATAAGTTTTTTTTTTTGTTTAAAATTGTAAAATTTATAAAAACCAATAACCACAATAACACTTAACAAAGCCTAAATTAACTTTCTATTGTCTCTGTTCTTGAATGAAAACAAAACTAAAATCCATTTAAATGTAAATTAAGATGGATGACATTATTGGTGCACAAATCATATCTCTTTTTGGAATGAAGTTACACAACAAATTCAAATGTTCTCTTTCACACAATAAAACAAACACAAGAAGAAAAATAAAATGAAATGGTCTCTAGTGGCTTCAAGAATTAACTACTTGATAATCATGTAACACATGAATTTAAGAAATTAAAAGATTCTTTTTAGTGCCAAAACAACTTGGGAACTAGGTAGCACAAAACTCTAGCTTCTTGTGAGTGTGCAATTAAAACCTACAAGGAAATAAGAAATCATCATTAATACATATAAAATGATTATAAGATATAATAAAGAGTGCACCATCCATATGAATGGAAAGGTAAATGAGACAAGTGTAGATGATTGAAGTAGAAGCACCCTCACCTAAGTATCCATTGGACCCATCTTCAGCACCATTAACAATATCCTTTTCAGAATAACTATTAATGCTTTCCTCAAATCTTAATTAGGCATTCTGTGACCGTAAGAACAACATATATTAATTAATGATCCATAAAGCAAGAATAGGACGAACACACGGATAACCAAGCTCTTCTTTTTTTCTTTTTTTCTTTTTTTAAAAAGAAACATTAGAAACATTGAAACGAAAAGAATGAGACCTAGGTTTCTCTCATACATGCTATGAGAAAGATATGATATGTTCGTATAGAAAGATTTCTAAAGACTTCGCCTAAGATGTCAATTATATATAAACACAAGACCAAGTTCACAAAAACCATGAATAATCTCATACATAGAGATAGAAACATCACCTAAAATTCCACTCTTGTTCATAGCCATTAATTACCATCTTCTTTAGCGTCATGATCATTATTTTCGTATTATTAATCATATCTAGATATGTTTTGAACATCACTAGTAGAAGTGGACACTATTTAAATAAAATAAAAAACATAATTTAAGAGATACGTTAATTAATTTGACCATGTTCTTAACTAATGATTAAGGAAAAGGTTGAAGAAAAATCTTTACAAGGTGGAAAAAAAAATTGAGGGAGTCTTTGGAATCATCAAAATGCATACCTTTTCCTTGAACAACTGTTGTATAGTGCTATTAAGATTTCCCTGCCAACTTCCTTCATCTTCAACTTCATCATCTTCATCTTCATCATCTTCATCTTCATCTTTATTAAAAATATCATCTATTCTTTTCTCTATATCTTCATCTATATCTCCATCCATATGTTCATATGTATCTCCTGTCAATTTCACTTTATGCAGTTCTGGTGCGCTTAGTTCTCCCTGAGAGAAAATCTGCATATTTGGACACTCTGTAACAATGACCTCTCTCAAAGCTGGGAATTTAAAGTTGCAATCCCCTGAGCAGAAGCTTTCTAGTCTGGGTAGACCTTTAAGTTGCAAATAATTCAAATTGGAGAAAACAATGCCATCCTTCACGGCATCACCCGAACATACGACAATTTCTTCTATCATCTCACAATTGGCTACTTTCATCGTAAAGAGCCGCCCCAAGCTTTTTGCTGTTGAGTATCTCACTAAATTGACAAGGCCATGACACTCAGATACTACTAGAGCCCGCAAATTGTCGAAATATACAGTGGAGGGAACTAAATTCTTCAATCTGCTACATTCCTGCACTTTTAGAGTTTGTAGGTTTCTGAGAATGTCTACTTCAAGTTGGGATTCTTCCTTCCAAAGATGTGTTAGCTCATGAAGTTTGGACAATCTTAATTTCCTTAATGGAGTGCGTCCACATACAGGTTTTTCCTCACCAGTAACTTCTTCACATTGGAATATTTCATCGAAGAAAGCATCCTTCACAAGAAGCTTTTCGAGATTGGGCAGAGAGTGGAAGAAGAAAGGCGGAAGCAAAGCCGATTGCTTAGGAAAGCCAAGGAGGTGCAGAACCTTTAGTTTACCAAAATACTCCTCTGGATGATGTCCACACTGTATCTTTATATTGTCATTCCATTTCACAACCAGCCGTTTTAGACTAGGAAATGTAGCCTGAGAAATTGACACGAGATAAGAAGACAATCCGAACTTTAACTAAATCTATTACTCTTTGATAAAATTGTCATTTCCAAGTTATACAATAAATCTTGATTGAAAAAAAAAAATAATTCTTTTATGCTTATTTCTAACCATAAAAATTGATTTCCACATTTTTCTGCCATTGAAAAATCACTTCATCTCACATAAACGCATCTATTTTTTCTTTCTTTATTATTGTTTTGTTTTTGCAATTCTTCCATTTTTCTATGACTCCAATTTCAAGAAATAATAAATTATTATTTAGGTGATCGCTATATAAAAATCTTTAATTATATATATAATCATATAGGTTAACCTGCAGAAATTTGTTAAAAATCTTAGTTATATATATAATCATATAAGTTAACTTGCAGAATATTCTCGTAACAATTTTTTTTTTAATTTGCAAATTATTATTCACTTAAACTAGACGAAAGACCCAGGTATTAAAATGAAAAAAAAAAAATAAAAATATATATAACTTTTTTTTCTCATGATGACCAAAGGTTAAATTTAATTACATGGAGTTTACTCCAATATAGGATTATAAGGATAACAAAATTTTTGTTGGTATCAGAAAAAATTAGAGTAAAACATTTTTAAATTAGGGTGATCAATCTCTACTCGTAGGAATTCAAAATAAGGTTGAAATATTTTTTTATAAAGTTCTGATAATTTTATTTTTTTATCTTCAAAATAAAATAAAATTGGTACATAGGGAAAACAAATGGAAAATTTTCTTTATTTGTCTCCATATATTACTTTCCCTATTTTCTTTCCTTCAGTTAGTGTAAGAACAAAAATGAAGAGCATGTGTTTGTATAAGATATATATATGCATTTTTTCCTTTTGGACTTGATAGTACGTACCTTGCTAATCCAAAACATGAGATGTTGAGATTCCCTTTCAAGTTGGCTGTCTCCATGTGTCATCTCAGTGCTTGAAAATTCTGAAGCAACTATTTGCACTCCATGACATTCAATCACAACTAAACTTTTCAATGATGGCCATTCTGTGATATGCATTTGAGGGAAGAAACTCTTGAATTTTGGTAAGAGTCTAAGCAGCAGCTCTGTCACTTGAGAAAATACAAGCTTGGTGGCTTCTGTTTCCACCAAAGTCGATCGTGTGGCTAGTAGTTTTTGTGATACAGTATCAAAATTGACTCTTTCAGAGTCAGAAATTTTTCCTAGAGAATCACAATTGGAGCAAAATGTTGCAAGTTGGGGTAGGTCATTAAGTGTCAAGGTCTCTAGTTTGGGGAACACCGTCTGGCAAATCTTGTCTTCTTCCATTGTCCTTTCTATCAATATTACCACTTCCATCATCTCACATCCACTAATCCCGAGTCTTTCAAGTTGCACAAAACTTTTAATCATTGAGATTGTAAACATATACTTCAAATTGGAACAGTTGACCACCTTCAACTCAGTTAAATTTTGAGCAAATGAAGATATTGATAAAAGCTGACTATTCCAAATTTGCTTTGTATTCATTGACGACAGAGTCAACATCTCTAAATTAGGAATCTCAACCTACAAGGAAGTTCCAATTTCATTGAGACTTTTATTCTTGAATCAAAGAAAAGTATAGGAATAACATAGAAGCATAAACTTGAATTTCATACGATATAAATTTTGATGTAGAAAAATTTAGTTGAAGAGGAGTGAGGTACACAAGTTTTTATACTCGCTAAGGCTTTTGACCTTTATGCATCAAATACATTTATGTCCATAGTTATAGAAGAAGTGCTGTAGAAGAGTGAAAATTATACCCTACAAAGAAGTATAGTGAAGTCTTGTTCTAGTCAAATTTGTGAAGAAATTTTTTGAAAAAAAAAAAGAAAAAAAGAAAAATAAAAGGAAGACTCACCTCATCACAGAAAAAAGCCTTATTGAATATATCAGGTTCTTTCTTGACAACCATTTCCTCACTTCTTCCATCAGCTATCTCTTTCTCACTTGAAAATTTGGAAGCAAATCTAACCATCTTAAGACAGTCTTTTATAGTAATTTTCTCCAACATTGGAAGCTTGAGGGCATTACTTCCCACATAGAAACTTGACAACTTAGAGCAAGAGTCTAGTGAAATGGACTCTAGTTGTGGGAATATTAAGCCAGTTTCAACTACCTCCTCAACTCCTGCAGCCATGATCACTTGTTCCATTGCTGCACAATCTTTTATCTCCAAGTCCTCGAGTTGCACAAGGTCCAATGCCATGGAAGGTGTTAGAAGGTAGCTCAAGCTGCTGCAATTACAAACTTCTAGACGTTGAAGCTTTTTGAAAGATGAGATTTCTTCATGATTCTTGATCCAAATTTGATTAACGTTAAGTGAAGATAGCTTCAAAAGCTCCAAATTGGGAAACTCAACCTGCAAAGAGATCCTTTATTATTAACAACTTTTTCTCAATCCAAGAAAACAATATTATACAATTTCAAATTAAGAATTTGAGAATAATGTTCATAAACATTTCCTATGATGACACCCATCTCTATTTGGGCTAGTTTAATATTGTTTGAGTAATTTCACATTTTAAGCAAATATATGGAAGAATATTGTCTAGCCACAACTGTTTATGGTGATTGATATAAAAAAAAGGTAAATAAATGAATATAGTAGCATCAACATCCAAATTCCAAACACCTTTTAAAGAAGTACAAAAATAATTTTCACTAAAAAAAAAAAAATCCGACCTTATCATTGAAAAAAGGTTAAATAAGAATATTAGGCCTTATGTTAAAAC